ATAGAAACCTTATTGTTTTGGGGGGGGGGGGGGAATACAGGCTTTGAATTCAAAATCAAACGCCTTAGTGCTTCAAGTTTCTACCTGTGCTGGAAGTACTCAGAAGTTGATTTTCTTTCCATGTTTGTCCCCATCTAACTGGCCTACTTCCACTGTTTCTAACTGATAGCATAGGACCTGATTTTGGGCTGGGGGAAGTCAGTGCAAATTTTTAGTTGATTTTGATGATGGCTAGGTGGGAGAAACACACTTACTGGAATGCTCTGGTAGGGCTGCGCATTACAAGGCAAACGGTGATGGTAATAGAATTGTACAAATATTCTATGTAGTTAAGAAGATCAATAAACGTCTGGATAAATTGGTTGTTCACAGTGGTTTGTTGCCTTTATTTAATCTGGTTTGAAGTATGAAAGGTTGGTATTAGTCTTTTCCAAGGATCATATACGTATGCTCCTGAAGAAAGTGCCCCCATATTTAGCATAGCCATGTGCAGCTCCTTATAAATGTTCTGCTTTTGTCTATAGGAAGTAGTAGATGCAAATGGTTTCGGAATAATCAGAGCATTAGCATCCCACAATATTTGTCTGCTGTAAAAACGTATCGCTGGAGATGGTAGCGAGAAAGATAAACAGGGAAATGTAGGATCCTGTTCTGTTCCACATGACAGTTTCCTGATCTTGAACTTTACCCACCGCCTCAGCCTCTTCCCCATGGAGAGATTTATATTTATATAACTATATAATAAATAAATAAATAAATGTAAATATATGGAGAGATTTATATTTATCCCCTATAAATACTGCATCTCCCTTCTCTAGCGTCCGACCAGAGAAGAGGCAAAAGGAACTCCCTGTTGCTAGATGACCGTTTTAGGTCCCTTCCAAATGAACTGTTCTGTTCTATTCTAATTTGGTCCAAATTGTAGTAATTATAAGCCAATTTACCCCAGTTGTAAATAGGTTCAGTTGTTAGGTCCAAAAGCTATATGTAACAATACCTTTCAAACACCTTCTTAAATTAAAGCTTTTTCACCTTTCACCACGTAGTAAGTTCCTGAAAACTCACAGATGGTTGTAAAGCACAAACTCTGTGCTTAATAGGGTTTGTTGTGTTAGAGATGAATCAGAAGAGTAATGAAGAGATGTGTAGGAGAACATTTTCCTGTTCGTGGGGTTTATGGTATTTTTATTCTGTCTTTCAGTTACTCTTCAGTCAGGAGCTTTATCGTTTTGGGAGGAAAGGGTGCAAATTTGTACAAGTCTTCTCAGGGGCAAAAAGGTGTGACACAATTAAAAAGTTTAGAATAACTTAAGAAAATTTAAGCTGATTCATAGTTTAATGAATGAATGCTTATAGGTGGTTAGAAATGAATCACGGATGAGGAAAGAAGAGAAACAATGTTGACAGATGAGAAGGGTCAAAGGCCTTTAGTTTTGAGGAGGGGGCCTCAAAAGTGTACCTTTAACACAGAACATTTTTGTTTAGATATTCTGGTTGCTCTCTTAGAGCATTTCTGATGGTAGTCTCTATGCTTGCCTGTAGTTCCATGTTGATGTATAGCTGATAATATGCGAACATTATTTTAGGAGGTTAATTTTATAAGCAGAAGAGCCTTGAAAGATAGCCCTCTGTTTACCATTGCAAATAATACTGTAACATCTGCCAGCTTTTTTAAATGATCGGATCATACTGCGCAAGTCGAGGCATTCATTTAAAACTAGCTTTTCTGAAGGAGGATGAATCCCTTTTTCAGATGCATGACGTACACCTAGTCTTGTATCTAAGCGTGGGTGCGGTGTACAGTTGCCTTGCCGTGTGCTGGAGACAGCCTTACTTTTCTCATTGCCTCATATCTGCCCTTACCTGGCTCTCCAGACGCATAAATCAGCTGTTCAAAACAGGGGCTGCTGGGGATAGGGAGGAGACGTATTTCAAGATGGTCAGATGTATTGCAGGAGATTCTTCTGGCTCTTCCTATCAACAACGTTGATGGTATGAAATTGCAAAATGAGCAACACATGTTTTGATGGAATTAAATGTGAAATTGGAAAAGGAAACGTGTCTCAAGTATAAAAAAGGCTTGCCAGGTAAACCATTACACTCTAGAAATCTGCTGCTGTTAAAATAAAAAATGTTTTTTGAAAGAGTTCCATGTGGTGTTGTTTCCATTTCCCCCACATTCAAAAAAGATATATCCCTTGATTTCAGCTGAGTAAAAACAAACGTGTACAGCTAACAAATAGTGTTATACCTCACCTACCTAATAACCTCTACGCTCAGCGTTTAGTTTTTCTTATGTGGATCCCAGGATGAAAGAACTCTTCTGTCTTGCAAGTCCACACTCTTCCTACCCGTTCTTTTTGCTTTTTGTGTTGTGGTAGTGTGTGAAAAAGAATTGCCTTCTACCGACCTATTCTCTGTTCAGTTGGAAACAAAGAAATAAAAGGTAAAGGAACAGAGAAGGAGTAGAAAGTAAACGGGAAGAGGGTTTCCCAGCAACGAGTGGTATAGAAAGCCATCCCATCAGCGCCTTTGTCCGTGACGTGCATCTCGCCAGCAGCAGAGATGTTCTTCCAAGTGTTACAACCCTAAGGCAGAAAGTAATCTCTTGCAGCCAGAACCGCTGCTGAATGTGTCGCTGTCCTCCAGGTGCCTCGACGCCACCTTCAATTCAGTTCTGACACGTGGAGGTGCAACAGCTAAATGGGGAATTTGTTCTCCTACTTGTAGCCACCCTGCTATAGTCAGCTTTATTTCTAGGCACAGATTTTGTTTTGCTGCTTGTTGGCTTGTATTTAAATTATCAGATTTTTGCTCTGGAACTCATTACCTGTTAGGAATGAAACAGTACAGGGATTGTCTTGCAAGAGAGAGGGCTGGCAAAGTCTTCTCTGTTCTCTGGTCATAGCACAGAATATGGAGGCATATGGTAACCAGTTTCCAGTCCATCATCTTTCTGAAAAGCTAGAAGTCTGCTGTGAATATTAAGTTGAGTAAGTTTTGCTTTGGCTGTAGAGGTGCATCCCAACTAAAATAACATTCTCACCCTTCCTACTTTGGTCCAGTAATTAGTGCATGGACAGTAGCATTGTAGAATGGCCAAACAAAACCACCCTTGCTTAAAAATGGGTGTCCAACTGCATTAGGCTGCTTTAGGATTGCGTGCATGGGGCTGGCAGATGCGGCCCAGGACCTGTGGGAAAACCCTTCTGAAGTGGCAGCAGGAGACATGGGGAATACATGAGGGCATGTTGCGTGACACTGCATTTATATTTATTTTTACTGCAATGCTGCCAAGCTTGCGTTGAGAATATGCCATAATTTAAGTGTCTTAACTCCTAAGAGAAGCCTGGCCCAGGTGAAGTTGAAAATGTTTATATACTCTCTAAATAGTTTTTATATGGAAATCTGTGCACGTACATATGTTTCTATTCTTCATTTGTGGCCGCCTTTGTGTTTTCCAGTCCATAATCTTCATTCGTGACCGAAATTCTCGTCACCAGGAAGTGTCTGCATACATCGACTATGCACACAGACTGACAACAGACAATTTTGAAGTATATTTCAGTGGGAAGAAAAGACTTTTCCCTCGGAACACTGATCTGAGGTATTTATCTTGACTTTGTTTTTGTTTATTTGCATTTAGGCAATATTAGAGAAAGATTTAAATGTTTTTGAGTAGGAAGATAGCTTATGAAAGTGTTTTTCGATGAAAGGCAAACACCATGGATCAGAATTAGTTGTGGAGAATGGCTTTAAGAAGGGTCCCTGTCAGGTTTAGTTCGTCCAGAGCATAAAACTTAACCAGGACGTTACAACCATCGCCTGTCTCTGCTTCTGTCATTACCATGGGGAGTCTGTAAATAGCGACATGCTTTCATCAGTAAGAGCACGCTTCTGGAGACGCCACAGGTCACATAGCTGCAGTCAGCAATTGCCAGAACATCTCTAGCTTTGCCCGCTCTCCACAGTCCATGGGAGGATGCTTTGCTTTGAAAGTGGGCTGCCTGCAGAGGTCATCTTGTGGCAAATAAGATGGCGTTACCTGTGACTCATGAGAAACATCATCAATGAGCTTTTTCACTGAAGAATGTGTTTTCCTTAAAATACATCCTGTGCCTGAGTGCCCAGAGATACACGTATGAGAGATGTTTGTGCACTTCTGTCGGTGAAGGCCAAGTTGAAGAGGCTTAGTGCAGCAAAGCTTGCAGTCTGACTGAGGCCTGGGACCATGCTTAGCGCTGAAGCAGTGTATGATATGGCAGGCAGGTGCTGCTGACACGGGGGAAGAGATGGTAAAAATTTCAGTGGGCTGGTCTTGTGAATCGTTACGGGAGTCTCCTCTTCCCACGTGTTAGAAGGTAAGAACTGTCAACAGCTAGCTGCAATGTCACGCGCAGTTACTGTCTCCTGGTAAAAAGGTGTCTGGTACAAAGGAGTTAATGCATTTTCTCAATTTCTGAGAGTGGTTTTCTGTAACACAAATAAGTGCAAATACTGTTCAGTCAAATTCTGATATGTGTTACAGAGCGAGAAAGCAGGAATGAGTGTTGGAGGGGACAAGCGGGCTGGTGATGATTTTGTGTTATTCGTTCACGGGACAGCAGATGTCAGTAATGAGGCAGAGATACCAAAATCAGCGCTACCTGAGATGGGAAGCAAAAATCCTGATTTTATGCTTTTAAATGACAGGGATGAACAGATAGTTGCTGTTTATGACTGAATTAAGAACAGGAGTGAACATAACGTTGTGTCTGCTTTGCATATTACGTCCTTTCTACATAATAGGATTTTATTAGTGACTCATAAATAAGCCTTTTAAATCATTGTTGTCATATCCAATAAGAAATGTCACTGTTGTATCCAGTAGCTGTGCTTAGTCCTGGTTATTCTGAGTTGAAAAAGTCTCACTTAATGTATGCTTCAACCTCTGTTTCCTTCCCTTGTGTCAAAACTAGGGTACACTGCAAACTTAATGGACAGCTCAGTATGTTCATTCCTTCTAGTGATAGAATATAGCTTCAGGTGATATTTCATTTTATCTCTTTGTTAAAAAAAATAGGGGGGGGGGAATAGAGCATTACTTATATTCTAGTTATAAAACTCCATGTATAACCCATTTAAAACTGCATTTGAACTTTCCAGCTGAACATAAAGGGAAGTTCAGATAAAGCATACGCAGTGCCAGGAAGGGTAGTTTGTTTTATTTATTTTTATATATATGTGTATTAATGTATGCACTGTAGTTAATGAGATTCATATACAGATAAATAAATATATATAACTATACCTATATATACTGAAGTCTTGCTACGTTGTACACTGGCTAAAGAAAAACCCTTCACTTTATGGTTAAATGATGTGGTTCTTGATGCATCACACGTACAAATTGGCTTTTCAAGAAAGCCCCATCACGTCACAGAAAATCTCTAACCACATTTATGTATCCCATGGTTCACTGGAGTTGCCAAGTGCCCCATTTTGCATCAGTTAGGTGTCTTCAGAGCAGCACGCTTCATTCCCACCATGGCTCTTATGGTTAACATTGAGAATGTTATTGGACAGATGGAGGACAGGTATGAAGAAGCCCAGGAAGAAAGACTTGGCTAGTACGGTACTGATTTCAAGATTCTCGTTGGCAGAGAACTTACCATGTCCCCTGAAAACCTTTTTATTGAGTAGACAAAAACATCCTGTTTCTTGGTTGGAGTCTTAAATTTGAACTTCACCTGCTAGATCCTGTATTTGTAGTTGCATGACGGGTTAAATACAGTTTTAGGATTAGACAAGTTGTAATTACATAGGCTGTCATCAAAACTGTCTTCGGCCATTATTCAGTAATCTAAACAGAATTTTCTTACAGGTAATTGTACATTTAATGGTCATCCCTCACCTTGGCAGTGTTGTTCCTCTGCCTCTTAGTTTTCTACCCAGCTTCTTCAAAATACAATCATAGAATAGTTTGGGTTGGAAAGGACCTCTAAAGGTCATCTAGTCCAACCCCCTGTGTGTCAAGAACGCGTCAAAAGTGTCAAGAATGCTGCTTGCGAATGGTGATAATTTGACTGTGTGTATAATTTTGTGCCTTCAGCTTTGAATCTCTTGTCGAGCTCCAAATCTAAGTCTTATCATCACATTTTTCTTCCCTGGATACTTACGCGTTTAGGCAGGTATGAAAATGTCCGACTGTAGATGGCATATCTACTTCTCAGGCTGAAAGACTGGGTGAATATTTCTGTCAGAAGTGGTTCTTCCTAAAAGTTGCCGTATCAGTTGAAGTTGTTCCAAAATGCTGCCTTCTTAAAGAACAAGTCAGTTTGGGAAACTGCCTCACTCAGAGCTTTATGAAGCCCTTACTCTTGGTCATATTTACTTTTAGTCCCTTGGAAGATTGTAAATCTTGCTTTTTGCAGGAGAGGTTAGTATGTTGTGCAGAGCTGTCAAATTATCTTTTAAATATGGAAATCCGTACTTTGCTGCAACACATTTTTTCCTTAGCTGTCTGAGGCTGTCAGAAGATATTAAACTTGGTCTTAAGTGCCCTCTGAATCAGATTCTTGTTCACAATACAAAGTAAAAATACTGTACGGTTAAGTTTATGTGATGTTCATACTTTAAATCTGGTGGGTAATATCAGAGGCTCTTGTGTTTGATCTACGTGGTTCCTCTGAGTATTTTTGCCATTTTATTGCATTGCCCTATCAAGGGAGTATTATTTATATGATATGATCCTCATTTGGTTCCAGTTTATTAAATGAAAGGAATGTGTTAGGCAGTAAGTTCTTAAGAGGTCTGGAATCTGGACTGTAATTGAATCCATTCACTCTCAGCTAATTTATGTAATCTGATGAGAAACAAGTGTAATACAATTTGTTCAAAGAAAATGGAGAATGTTCACGCTATGGAACAATAGCAAAAAGTTCTCTGAATGAAGAAGCCCAGCAAAAGACGAAGTTTGGGCTCCCTTCTGTCTGATCAGTCGTATTTTGAGCATCTGTCCTAGTGAATGAGGATGACGTGACCATCTTGCAGTAGAATTGTACTATTTCAATTTTGTGTGAAATCCTGCCGTGATTTTTCATTAGTTTTCTGTGGCGGCATGCTAGATGTGGTATCTTTGATACTGTACGCTGTAGTGTTTTATCCTCACACTTGGCCTGTGGCTGCAGTGTTTTCATTTCTTCTTGCTAGTGTGCACATTCTTTTCTGAAACAGAGCCAGGTAAGGAGCCATTTACTGTAGAACACAGGTCCTAGTTTTTCCCCTGAACTAATGGTCTGAAATCACTTACTTATCTCATCAGCAGTGAAACTCATTTGGTTTTGGCCCTGGCACGCATCAGTCTGAGCATGGGAGGTCCGGCATTCAGGGCTTTGTGGTGATGCACCTCGTTTGTGATAGAAGTGCATCATGACACACGGGTGCTTTCAGACACGGCGTGTTGTTCTTTGTTATTGGCAAGAACCATCCCATCAGCTTCTGTCCTTCTCCTCTTGTAGTTCAGCTGTGGTCTGTTTTGGCTGCAAGTGGGTGCAGCATTTGGCAGTCATTCATTAACCTGGGGTTGGAATTCCCTCCCATTTTATTGTCAGGTATATTCTAAGATACCATCTGTTAATCTGTAAAGACCTGTAGGCCAAATCACGGCCAGCAATACGTTCCCAAGTGTGGGGCGTGAGGCAACTTCTCCCTTTCCTGCTGTACGCCGTACTCTGCAGATTTGAGAGCAATTTACAGAAGAGCACTGCTCCTACCCCGCTTACCCAGGCGAGAGCTGAGAGGGAAGAAGTCACATTTTCACGCTTGGAGGCATGGGCAGTCCCACCGTGCCAGGCAGAAGATGTGCAGAGAACTTCTCCTCCCTCGAGGAGCAGGCGGCAGGAGCCGAACTGAACTCCAGCTGTGCCCCAGCTGCGCCCTGGGAGCAGCGAGGCAGCAGCCACCCACCTGCATGGGTTGTGGTAATCCCAGAATCCAGCCCAAAGCCTCTGGAAATCGTTTCTCCCCAGCCAGGGCATGCTCTGTGGCTGCCTGTAAATTAATTGATTACAGCAGCTAGAGGTAGGAGCAGATCACCTACAACAGGCAGCATGAGCCTGTACGTGATGGCACCTGTTACTGTGGATCTCCTTCCAGCTTTCAGAGAGCAGGATGTTGAATGGGAGTTAGAGGAAAACAGGCTGCATTTGTTTCGGTGTTTTCTGTTTTGTTGATCAGGAAGGGATTTTTCTGCAAATATAACAGGAGGTTGTCCTTGTGTTGACAGATCCCCAGTTAGCCATTTCTCCAGTTGCCCTGATGGTTTGTTTACTTCAGTTGGCTCTGAAAGGGAACCCTTTGGTAACTCACTCTTGGCGTGTATCTGCGGACCCCATTTGTTGTCCGTTTGGTGTGTCGCTCTTCAGCTACCCCAGCTGATGCAAGAGAAGTCAGCTTCTCAGTAGCGTTGAATGCCTGCAAATCAGAAGCTCATTAGTGTCTCTAACAATCGGATGCTATGGATATAGACCACCAGTTAAGTCCAAACTTCATTTCTGGAAAAAGGTGAAAACATCTGGAGTTTCCAAAATGTGCAATCTCCAATCTTGGAGAGGATCAGCAGACTCC